AAATAATATATATAAATTAATATATATTATATATATATATATATATATATATATGTGTGTGTGTATTTTAATACAGCTTTGAAACTACTACGTAGCTCTTAGATTATGTGATATGAAAATGCATTATATGAGATTTAATCTACACGTATATGTACTACTTTTTGTTTTTATCACTATACAAGGAATAATGGAATAAATAGAATTTATCTATAAAATTTTCCATATTAATTGTGAAAAAAAAATAATAAAAATAAGAATAATTAATCATTTTTTAATAACAATCATAGTAAGTTTTACGAGGTTAGTCGAAGAGAAGCTGAAAGCTTTAGATATATATCATGATGCTCGATATTCATCATTCATGAATAATTCAGAAATGAAATGCTTACAGTTACACGAGACACGTGACGGTCTCCTCTCTTGAACAAAACATTAGTAGAATAGTCTGTAATAATGTTTTATTTCGCTTACGGGATCGATATAACTCGAATCATCTTTGACTTATATCTTTTGATGTTTTTATTCAGTAAAAAAATAAATATAGATAGAAGCGAAACAGGGAAGAGCAATGAATCTATAATCCATAATATATGAATAATGGCAATAAAAGCAAGCTTTAATTTTTTATAACCATTTGACAACATAAATTTAAATTTGATATTTTAGAAATGGAATATTATATAATTTTATCATTCGTATTTTTGCATGAAATAAAAAATCTTTTATAAATATTATAACAATAATTTATTGATATTAGGAATTATTTTAGATAAAAAAAAAAAATGAATAAATAGAATGTCTAAAATTTAAAGAAATAAAAAAAAACGATTATTTTGATGAAGTAAAAAATTTTAATTATACTCATCCAAAATTTTGCAAATATGTCTTCTTTTTTTTATGCACGTACAATCTACAATTTATGAATTAAATTTTATAAGAAAATTATTAAACATATAGCATAGCTAATAAAATCATGAACAACAGAAATCTAATATTAATTCAACTTTCTTGATTTAATTTAAAAAAAAAGAAAAAAGAAAATGAAGATATTTCAAATTAAAAATAAGCGAAAAAAGTTTTTAAAAATGAAGAACGAAGATATAAAATCGATTACAATCAAGGGAACATCAATATGTCAGTGTTCTAAGCGTGTCAAGTAAGTTATTTTCTTACTTGATCTGGCCTGAGACCTGGCGGGACCCACGTGTATTCTTCGAGCGCGCATCCGCTGTCATCGTCGCTTTGAGAATGCCTCTGATGATGCATCAGGGCCTCCTGAAGGGCGAGGCCCGGCGGAGCCGGTTGCACGGGACTCTTGAAGGGTTCCTGATGAGAAGAACCGGCGGCCCCACTCTGGAAAGCCATGGCCATGGCCATCGGCGGACCAGGACCGAGGCCGAGTCCCGAGGGACCACCCGCCTCCGTCGAAGTCCGCTGATGTTCCTCCCTGGGACACCTGCAGCTTCTGCACACCTTTCTGAAATCAGAATTCTGGATTAAAGTGAAGCGGTCTAGAGATAACCAGATCCTTGATCCTTCTTTATTGTTTAATTTTGCATTAAAGATAAGTTGATATCTGATTTTTGAATCGAATCGAAAGTCTTGAAAAGTTTTTTAGCTTGTAAAAAATTAATTTTTATGTTTTATTTTTTATCCATGTAATGGATTAGAAATTATAAAATTTATTAATTTGAAGTTTGAAAAATTTAGATGTGTATATATTTTTTTTAAATTATATTATTTTTATGAAATAATTTGAGAATAATAATTGATAATGAATAATAATAATTAGAATGTTAATTAAAACATGATAATTTATATCAGTATATTTTTATTTTAGCGTTATCCAAGTTATTTCTAATAAATTTGCCAAATCTATATTTATTAAATTTTATAGTTTTTATTTTATAGTAAGGTAACTTACTATTATAATAATTATAATATTATATATATTTTATAGTATAGTAAATTTATTACAATAGATTTCATTTAACATTAATTTTATAATTCTATTTTATACGTATGAAACTACATAATTTTTTAATTTTATAGCAGATAATTTTACTTCAATTATGAAATATTTAAATTTTATATTGATAAATCTTATTATTTAATTATTATATATTATATAAATTATTATATTAAAAGTTTGCATTATTATTACTTTTTTACAAGATTATTATAATAAAATAAAATTTTTTAAAATGTTCTAAAATATCACATTGATTTTAATGATAATACAAAAAATCATAATTAAGAAAATACTGATCAATATATTAATCAATATAAAATAATTAATTATAATAATTAATATAATACATAAAATTAATTAACATATGCATGATGTATAATTTATTAATATAATATATAAAATATAGATTCGTCTATAAAAGAAAAATTAAATCCAAGAAAGAATTTCAACTAAATCTATTTATAATTGAAACATGAATTTACTAAATGATGAATTTATATTAAAAATGAGATGTATATCACCATGAAAAAAAATAATAATAAGAACGTCAATATTGAAAAAATTTTAATTGATTTTAAATTAATATCTAAAGTATTAAAAATTTTTTATATGGTATGCAATAACGAACTTATGTAGTAAAGCACGAGTTGCATATTAATGCAGCAAGAAGTTCCAAGAATACATTCTTTTTCCAGAGGAAGTGATAAATTCGTTTCCCATCAATTCGAAGAAACTAAAAGATCTTGATTGTATGTATACTCTTCAATTTTGATAAAGAAAAAAAATTTATAATCATAAAATTAATATATCCTTTAATTTCAACTGAAAAATAAGAGAACTAAATGTAATCAAAAATAAAATTAACGGACACACGAAACATTAAAATTCCTTAATTTTAGTTAAAAAAAAATAGAGAAGAAAATAAATTTAAATAAAATTGAAATATTATCTTCGAACCAAAAATTAAAACCAACATCTAGTAATTTCAGGCCAATATAATATTGGTATAATAATATTGGTTCAATTAAAAAAACACGAGCACATATACTACACATATAGATAGAAAATTTATTTGATCCGTAAAAGAAAGAAGAGAAAGAAAAAAAAAAGAACAACGCGTTAATTCACTTTCAAGTCGAAAAGTACGCATGTACAATTTAGGAGGTAGTTTATCATCAAGATGCATGATACGAGAGAAAGAGAAAGATTGCAAGAGATACCGTGACAAGAAAGCCTATTTGCATGAAAGACGATGAATTGGCGGCGAGTGGTAAGCCTGATTATACAGTAACCAGCGGCAAAACATTTGTTTCCATCGAAATCTCATATAACTACTAGACAGCGAGATCTAGTGAACAAGTTTGTATAAAAATTAAAGTAAAAATTTTAATTTAAAAACTAATTCATTTTAAGAACAAATGATGGAATGAAGGAACTCAATTTTCAATGAGAAAGTGCAAATTTTGTTTGGTAATATATAATTGCTCAAATTACGTACTAAAACAGTACTTATTTAGATATCATATTCTTTAATAGTTTATTAGATCTAATATTAAAAATCAGATTTTAATCAAGCTTAATCCTAATCTTCATTGCTTTTATTTTATTTCTTTTATTAATTTCTACAATTTTATTCTAAATTAGTCTCAAACAATGAATCAAATTTTAATTTATAATCTTAATTGAAATTAATCTCAAATTTTAATTTCAATTTTATTTTTATCTGGCAATAAAATCTTTATAAATATTATAATTTATGAATTTGTATTATTATTTGAAAAATTAAATATTATTATTTCAAAAATTCATTTTTTCCATTCTATTCAATTTTAAGATTAAATAGAATAAACTTTTCTTTCTTTCTAATATAATAATTACAATATCAAAATTAAATGATATCGAATATATGTAGATTATATATATTGATATTTTATTATATTAGTATTATTTAATTTTAATGTAATAAATTTTATAACGAATAATTTAAGTTTATATGTATTCTATAAGAAATATTACTTGTCATTGAATCATTAGTTCGTCATTAATTTAACACATTTATGATGTTTAAAACATTTATGAAATGCTATTATACTTGTAGATATAAATTAGATAGCTTCATAATCATAACATATACTTTAAAGTAATGTACCATCAATAAATATCTAGAAGTATTTATTAAGTATCATTAAAAATCAAAAAATCTTTAAAATAAATCTCCAAAACATTTATGAAGTGCTCCTATATATGTATAATATAATGTATATATTATTATATATATATATATATATGTATATATTATATGTATATATGTATATATAAATATTATGAGCAGTGTTATAAGCTAATAATCATTAAAGTAATATACTCAATGTAACTAATCAATAAATCTTCTAAAATATTTATTAAGTATCATCAAGAAATATTAATAAATTCTCTTCCTGAAGTTCTTGAAATCCTTTACAATTGATTTAACAAAATCTCAAATGTCTAACGTCAAATCATTAAAATTGATAATAATCAACATAATACGAAACATTTTGCAATCACATTCTCTACATTCTTTCAAAGAATTTAACCGCTTTGCTGAAAAAGAACATTACTAAAGTAATATTCCTATCATCAAACAGGCTACCAAACAAAAAACTTTCCCTCAAACAAGTCGAAACGAGATTAACTCACTCTGCAGAAGCAGCGACATCGTAACCCGAATGCACAGAACCGCAATCGGCTACCACTGGCTCTCCCGTAATTCTGCGTTCGTTTTCAAACGCTGCGACGTCATGAGTATTGTTCAGATATTCCACACACTTCTCCGTGGGACTAGTTCTAGCCGCGGCCAAAGCTGGACAGCCGACGACAACTCCAACCACATCATCTTCCTCGTTTCCATCTTCACGATTTCTCAAAAAGGCATCCAGATAATGTTCGTCGGTAGAGGGCAACTCATACACAGCACTAGACGTCCAATTGGTAGATAGATCCCTTTGAATAGCGGATTCATCGTCTATTTTATTGACTTGATCGTTCTTCCTGGCGTAAAGTTTACGAAGATAAGCTTCCTGGTGGCTCCTGGTCGCCCAGCAGCCACCCTGCCACCATCTTTTCGATCCCAGAACCGAGGTCTTCCGTCTTCTCGCTAAACTCGACATTACTTTCTATTTACGAGGTAGAAGTTGATCTATATAATTGTCATCTGAATGATATAATATTTGTAAAGGGCATTATTTATGATTCATTGCATAATTTGATTGTAATTAATTAATCGATTTAATTTTTTTTTTTAATATCTTTAGTTCAATAAGGTCATCTTTTAATATCAAACATTTTGTATTCCTGTATTAATGATATCGCAATTAGTATGCAATTGATCTTTTCGTCAATAAAAAATAAATCTTCTTTCATTCATGTTCTGTCTCAAGAGTTGACAGGATCGTGTTCGGAATCCAAAAACTGTTAAAGCCAAAAGATGAAATTCGATGATTCCGTGCATGTCGTCATCAACCCAATACTCCATCGAGGTCAAAAGATATCCTTATTTCTCTATGTGTTATTCCATATAATTTTACAGTTTTACGGAAGACAAAGACAAAAAGATAACATTGACGTTCATATGACGGGATATCATGTTTCTTTTCGGTTTCTCTGGTTGGCACGCGCTCTTAGAGAACACCAAGAGGACTCTCCAAGACAAGGACAAGTCAGAGAGATAGAGAAAGCGAGTACTGCGAGGAAGGAAGGAGAAAAGAAAGGTAGTAGCTAGTGGAGAGCAAGGGAAGAGACAAAGACGAAGCGAGGAAGGAGCAACAGAGAGGAATGAAGCGAAGAGAGAGAGGATAGAATGTACAGAATCGAAAGAGAGACGAAGAAGGGTGAGGGAGAGGCAATCTGTAAGAGTACGTATAACCGGTAGTACAGCCGGAGATTAACGTTTTAATACGCGGCAGTGTGGCCGAATGTACAAAGGGAATTGAGCGAACGATAACGTTTCACGCTGATTCTCGAATCGATCTATCGGTTTTCCTTCCTTCGCCGCCTGGGATTCACACAGTTATCTCTCTTAAGCATTAATTTCCGATCACCGCTCTCACTACGGTCATCCTCTCTAGTGGATCGTATTTGTTTCACGTCCAAGCTTTGACACGCGACGTGTCAATCTATTCCGAGACCAGCCTGATAAATCGAAATCTCAAATATCTTTAGCCCAGTCAATCACTGATCCATATGGTCCAAAATTGCTAACAATTTTTCAAAAACAATGATTTTAATCCTGTTACAAAACGGTATCACAAAATTGGAATATCAACGATTAACTGTCAAACACAATCATCAAGAATCTTCTCGTTGTATACACTTAATTTTAATTGATCTTCAGGCTGAAATACACACAAAACTTGCGAATGTATGAAAAAAATAGATAATTAAAGGCCCACGCGGTTAATTGGCAATAGTATAGAATCGCATTAAAAAGCTTCTAGAAGCAGCGTTCTCATCCTTCCTACTCGGGCGTGCTGAGGCCGGGCGGACACTGAGCATGCTATGGGACCGCTACGAGCAGGAGAGGTGCGGGGCAAGGGCGGCTGCCGGCTGCTAGAAAGCCGCCTCAAGGGAGGGAGAACGAAGGCCCGTTCTCGAACTCAGGTTGTTACGCCGCTGCACTGTGTGTAACTTCCACGCCACCAATACGAGTTCGTCTATCCCCACTATTGCACCGCGATGCCTGCTGAGCCTCCCGATATATTTATATTCGTTTCTAATATGTGTGGCGTGTCAGGGCCCGACGCCTCGCCAAGAGGCCCCTTTTGAGTACGCGCGCGCACTCCAGTCATGTCGGTCCGGCATCATTCCACGAGGGCCTGTGCGTGCTGCGACCACAACCGCACCCCGAGGCCACAATCTGCTGCAACACTATCGCCTCGCATCGATAGTCTCGCGTGAACGTTCTTAAGGAACACGGAGACATTAGTTGAGGAAAATTGAGTGCGGTTTAAGTGGTTTACTCGAAACATTGATTTTCTTTGATTTCAGCGCTATTCAATTTTTTCAATTTGTTTTTCAAGTGATGATACATTTTTTCGATTATTTAATAATCTGAAAATTAGTAATATTACTTTAATTAAAAAATTTTCATAAATTTTGATTTTATATATGATAGTATATATAATATTGTATATAATGTAATAACTAATATTTTAACTAAATTCTTGAAATCTGATATAAAAATATTAGATTTATAAAATTTTATCCTATTGAAAGGTAAATTTTTAATTTCTTAATAAAAAATATTTCTTTAAGTAACTTACTATATATGAATAAATATTCATTCATTCTATTTCATCCACAGATTTTATTATAAATTCAAATTTGATCTCTTGTAACGGAAAAATGATAAAATTTATCCATAACAATTTCACTGTATAACGACACGCAAACTGTACTATAGAAGTAAACTGTCCGTTGTTGGCGATGTCCCGCAGGCTCACTGTAAGTGGTTGCAAATGTTCATCGTAATGACGCTGCCGTTTTTCTGGAGTATATCCTCTTGATGCCCTCGTCTTACCTAAGAAACACGATAATGGTTCTTGCCTGATCGTTAACTGACTGGTTCACTTGAAAATGCGATGTTAATTGGTTATTAATCGACCATTAAGCAGATAGCTTCGATAAAACCGGAACATTTTATTTGTATCGACAATTGTTTTATTGTATCTTTTATTCGAACAAACTCGAACAAACGCATGAGTATGAATTCATTAACATGCAATTGTATAAAATTATTGTATTGATTAATTATAATTTGGTCAATTAATAAAAAATCAAGTTATAAAGATTCATTTATTTTCATATTTTATAGGGATCTATGTTGGATTTAAATTTTATATATGTAAATTAATTATTTAGATAATTATTTTAGATATGGTTTTTTTTCAACAGTCAATCATAAATATGGCAATATCAATAAGCAGTTTCAAAATATTTTCTAATAACCAATAACTATGTAATAAATTCACACTCGATTATCAAATTTCAAACTTAATTGAAAACTAAATTATTCTCAATAGATTGCAAAAAATTTTCAAACTTAATAGTAATTCACTATCTATAGAATACATATTTTAAATATCTGACCAAAAAATACAAACTTAATTATCTGATAGTTAATTAACCAATTTAATATATAATAAAATATAATCAATTCCAACAGATTTTAAATTTACTATTTCTCATACGTTTACCTCGATATAATAGAAATTTTACATTCAGATGAATTACTCTAAATCGTCTTTCCAATTAAAAATTATTAATGAATTGTTGATATATATATACATATATATACATATAATTGTTTTTTCAAACAAAGAGAAAAATATATTTGAACGAATTTTGAACCATTTCTGAACGCTTCATTGCTCAATGATTTGGAATAGAAATTCCATTATGTAATCCAAGTGGAACGAGTCTTTTTCCGGAATCGATTTCAGGATTGTAATGATACGGACTACTTACTTGCCATCAATAAGAGATAAGCCGCTTAGTCATCGTTATCATATTCTTCAACATTCCACAATCTTCTATTCCACTCAATCATAAGTTATGAATTAGCAAAAATCTCTCTAGCCTCCTTTCCCCTTATTTTATCTGGATACTTTTTCAGAATAATTCCAGAAATATAGGTTTGTAATGATAACACTAGAGAAATCATATTATTTTTTTGATGAATGTGTTTTGTGTCATGAAATATAAAGAAAAGTAAAAACAAATTTATAATATCAAGTTTTCAAATGAATTGAGAAAAGAAATTTTTGTATATTGCCTAATAATTAAACAATCAGATCCATTTCTTGTTCTGTAATTGAAGTCTTTATTTATCAAGTTGAAAATTATTACATTATTAAATTATTACATACCATATCATATTCGAGAATTTAAATCATGTTTACTTTAGTTGAATCTTTGAATCTTTATAATCTTACTGAACTGCAGTTGTAACTTGTAAATTTCATTTTCTATTTGCTTTTCATATTAGAAGTCTAGCATGATTTATCGAGATCCTTCTATAAAAGTATGTACTTTGAATAATTGAACAGAAAATCATGACTATCTTAAAAGAAATATCGATAAAGATTAGGTTCATAAACGATCGAGAACACGATAAGTTGCTGTAAAGATGTTGGTTCGATTCTGGTTCATCGATTAAAAGGATACTTGATCGAAATTGCTGGCTTAATTTAACTCAAAAAATAACTATACAATAACTATACGGTTCAATCAGGATATTTGCTTCCAAGAATTTCATGGAAAAGTGTCTTTATTGGATAGCTTAATGGCAACTGCCGCATCATAGTTTCTGCTCCTAATAAAAAGTTTTTATCGTTCAAAAAATTTATAAACGCTTCGATTAACAAAATTTTAACAAGATAAAGATTTGATTTATACTTTTTATCTTCAAAATCATTATTTTAAAGTTTATAAAATAAGTTTTAATCAATTATCGTATTCAATAATTGTAAAATAATATGAAATATTGTGAATGCGATTGATAGTTATAATGTTTTTTTATATCATTTGATATCATTTATTTTATTTCAAGAAAATAAGCAAAAACAATTGCCTCACCATCAGGATTTCAATCAAATGTTCGCTTTATCTTCTTTCTAGATATTTCCTCCATTTGAAAAGGATAAAGGTTTCTTCAATCAATTTTTTGCCATTGCAAATTACCTGCTTCTATCAGTTCAACAGTCCATTATTCAAGGAAGAATTGAAAAACTTTAAAAAAAATTTACTAAAATTCTTGAAAAAAATTTGAAATCATAATAATTTAATGTTCTAGAATCAACATCGTAATAAAATTCATAATTTTATAGTAGCATTTTTTAATTTATGCCTGAATCTCCAAATCTTCAATCTATAAAAAATTAACAATTATTTTATTCATCTAAGATTTATTAACTTTCACACACATAACCTTCAAATATATAATCCAATTGTATTAGATCCAAAAAATTTCTTTTCGATAAAAAAAATTTCTTTTCTTCGTATTAAACAAAGTGGTAAATTCTTAATTATTTTAATTATCAGAGATACATACAGAGTAACAGAATTATTCATCAGATTCTAGCAAAACAGGTGGCTTGCGATTGTCCGCCACAATCTCGGTTCAATATGCGCATGCGCGCGCACGCTGTAACATCGTGTAGTAACCGGTACAAGGCACATCGTGTACCGGAATCATTAACTGTTATGCAGATGAATCTCTTATGTTTCTTTCACGCATAGTAAAGAGAACTCAAACTTTTCAACCTCGGTGCCGAAGGCGTTCACTCTATCTACCTGAGATTCTCCATCATCGACAACGCTGATCAGAGTACCGCTGCGGTTCATGCTTTATACGGTAGTCAAGAGTGGCTCACCGTGTTAACGAGCTGTAAATGTCGTTGTGTGTGTCATGAATTGGAAGGAGAGCAATTGTAATTCTTTACGTTTTTATTTTTATTTTTTTTATGAATCTGAACTAGAAAGAAATATCTTATGATCTCTCTAGAAGATAGGAATGATTTTTAATAGATTAAACTAAATTTTTATTACTTTAATTTTAATTTAAAAATTTTTCAATTTTTAGATTTGAAATTGTGAAAATTAATTGGAAGAATTATTATTAAGTTTTTAAATTAATTTACAATAATAGATTATAACATTTAATTTTGTCAAAAAAATGGAATTAATATTATTTTTTTTAATATATTTACGATAATTAATTTTAAATTCTAGACTATTATTTTAAATAATAATTTTTCTTCCTGAATTTTTTATAAGTTTTTAAATGTGTTAAATTTATAATATAAATTTATCATTATATTTATAAATTTATAATCAATTTGATTATTAATAAATAAATATAGTTATAATCAATTTGATTATTAATAAATAAATCATAGATTAAATGTCATTTTCACTATTGTCACTCAATTTCAAATTATAAATATATATAAATTCTCAAATTTTAATTTAATTCACGAATTATATATAACTTTATTACAAAAATCTAATAAAAAACCAATTAAAGCATTCTACAAATTCTTCAGTTCATTTTTAAATAATGAATCCTTTATGAATAATTGAATGATTGAATTAATATCACATATTATTAAAACATTACAAATATAGTCATAAATATAGTTTATAAATTACCGAATATAACTTAAAATTGTAAAAATTTTTTTTGTAATAAAAACATGAAATTCATATTATGCAAATAAATTCAAAATTGTAGAAAAAAAAGAATTCTTCTAACAATTAAAATCGTATATATGTTCAATTATAAATTGAATATAATTTTTACCTAGACACCTGTCGGCTAAGAAACAGCTGGTGTACACTAAATATTCACAGGTGCATCACCGAACTTCACAGCTACGTTTTCCTCCTTTTCCCGTTTATATTTAGCACGGTCAGCACCAGTTTACGACACGCATGGAATTTTTCGCCCTGAGGAACTGGTTTCTTCCATGGACTTAACAGATATTGCATATCCAGAGATTTTTTAATTTCGTTACTTCATTATGTTTCTTCATTAATGATTACAATCAAAGTTAGGTTAGATTATAGATTAACTGCTACTACTTGAAATAAGATAGTGCGATTGTCTCAATATAAATTGATTAAATTAAATGAGATTTAATCTATTGAATAAGATCAAAAAATCATTATAAAACTGATGTTATATTTAATATTAAAATAATAGTAATAGAAAATTAATAGAAAAATTGAATTTTAAAATTTTTAATATCATATTAATTAAGATTCTTCAACAATTATATTAAATTGAATAAATAAACTAGTTTGGTAAAAAAAACAGTTTTTGTATTCAAAAAACTTTTGTATTAAGTCTTTGAATTTTTAAATGAATAATCTTAAAAGTTAATAATAGTTTAATGAGAAAATATAAAAGAAGAAAGAAAATAAAAAATAGAAATGAAAGTGATAGATTTAAGATAAATTTACAGATAAAAAATATTGAAAAAATAT